GGTGTGAGTTTAAGCCACCGAGTCCGGGACTCGAACCATTGTCAACTACATGGGAGTCCAGAGACATAGCCATTATGCCAATTGCTAGTCCTTAAAACAGTTCTCTGAAAAAAGAAATAATTATTTATATTATTTTACTTATCATAATTGTTCTTTTTTATTTTGCTACAGGACACACATGCTTATCAGAGAGAGACAGAGACAGAGACAGAGAGTGAGAGTGAGAAAACAAGCCTCCATGGGCAGGATTTGAACCATTTAGTAGGCCATGTGTAATCCAGGTCCTTGAACTACTAGGCCATGGAGTGGTCCCTGGCATACACTTGTAGGTTTAGTGATTCATTTAATTTGACCAGAAAGGGACAGAGGGGGGTAAAGTGAGAAAGCGAGCCACCAGGGTCAAGACTCAAACTGTGGTCGGCCATGTGGGAGTGTCCAACACCTTAACCACCATGCCACCTGCTGGTCCTGCAGACAGATTTCTTTCTCTCTCTCTCTCTCTTTTTTTTTTTTTTAAGATTTTTTTTTTGCTATAGGTTGTGTGTGCTCACCAGAGATACAGAGAGAAAGTGGGAAATCACCCCCCAGGGGGTATGGCCACATCACAGTCTCTTCTCCTCCATTCTTCTCTTGGGATTTTGGGCATGCATGCACATGCGTCTGGTGTGAGCCGCCAGGTCCAGGACTCAAATCTCTCTTTCTCTCTGTTAATTGCACACACTCTATAGCAAATTTATTAAAAAAAAGAAAGAAAGAAAGAAAAAGAAAAATGACTTTTTTTTTTTTTTTTTTAAAGATGGGACTTATAAAAATGAAAAAGATTGTCTGTTATGATGCACGGGGTCTGGTAGAACGGCTCTTAACTCCTGCTCACAAGGAGTTAGATCTCGCGGGGCCGGCAAGTGGCATGGTGGTTAAAGGCGCTGGACTCCCACATGGCCGACCATGGTTCAAGTCTCAGACCTGGTTGCTTGCTTTCTTGCTTCCTCTCTCTCTCTCTCTCTGATCGAACTGGAAAATAATAATGATAATAATAATAAAGTAAAATAAAATAATTCTTTAAAAAAATGATAATACAATTTTAGTCCATCAGATTATCAAAGGCTTCTCCACATGGTTTGAATCTCAGTTCTGGTGGCTCGAAAATGCTGGGAATATGTGGGTGTGTGCCCAAAATCCCAAAAGGAGAAATGGAGAGAAGGACATGGCCATGACCCATTGGGGCTGGGGTCCGTTCTCTCTCTCATTCTCCCTCTCTCTCTCTGGTGAGAACTTGCACCTTCTGCCCATTGCAAAAAAAAGAAAGACAGAGAGAAAAAGAGGGACCAACAGATGGTGTAGTGGTTATGTCACTGGACTCCCAGGTGGTGGCCTGTGTTTCAAGTGCTGGACCCAGTGGCTTAAAAATCATACCAGGTATAGGGGTCGGCAAGTGGTGTGGTGGTTAAAGTGATGGACTCCCACATGGCCAACCTTGGTTGGAGTCCTGGACCTGGTAGCTTTCTCTTTCTCTCTAAATAAAATAATTCTTTAAAAGAAAGAAAGAAAATCACACCAGGCACATGCCAGGCACATGTGTGTGCATGTCCAAGATCCCAGAAGGAGAATAGGGGAGAAGGGGAGAAGGTGTTGCAGCGTGGCCATCTCCCCTGGGGGTTGATTTCTCACTTTCCCTCTCATTGTCTCTGCAAGTCTCTCTCTCTATCTCTCTTTTTTTTTGAATTATTTTATTTATTCATTCATTTATTTTTTAATTTGACCAGAGAGAGAGAGAGAGAGAAAGTGAGAAAGCAAGCCACCAGGTCCAGGACTTGAACCATGGTCAGCCATGTGGGAGTGTCCAGCACCTTAACCACCACACCAACACCATCTGCTGGTCCCCCATGTATGTCTCTCTTTCTGACAAGCATACACCCCTTATAGCAAAAACCTCTAAAAAAAAAAAAAAAAAGAATCTACTATGTTTGGAAGTATTTTATTCTCAAAAAAAGTTTTGTTTTCTGTTCTTCCTGTTATTGGTAGTTCTGAACGTTAGATATTTTTTCCCCTATGGGGTCAAAAAGTACCTCAATGATCATGAGTGGAAAAACAGGGGACAGAAATCAGATATCGGCAATTTTTCTGAAATTTTTTTTGAGAGTTTTGTTTTGTTTTTTTTTTTAAGAGAGATTTTTGCTATAGAGTGTGTTTGTTTGCTGGAGAGAGAAAAAGTGAGAAATCCCCCCCGGGGGATGGCCATGCTACAATCCCTTCTCCTCCATTTTCCTCTTGAGATTTCGATCATACACGCACACGCACTCGGTGTGAGTTTCAAGCCACTGGGTCTGGGACTCGAACTGAGGTTAGCCGTTTGAGAGTCCAGAGCTTTAGCTAGTACACTGTCTTCTGGCTTTTGCTATAAGGTGTGTGTGTTCGCCAGAGACAGAGAGAGAAAAAGTGAGAAATCATCCCCCAGGGGGATGGCTAGCTACCTGTTGACCCCTAAACCAATATTTTAACCCATTTTCCCAGGAATTTTTTTTTGGAGAGGTTTTTGCTATAGGGCGCGTGCGCTCGCCAGACAGACAGAGAGACAGAAAGCAAGAAATCACCCCCCAGGGGGGATGGCCACACCGCAATCCCTTCTCCTCCATTCTCCTCTAAGGATCTTGGGCACACATGCACATGCACCTGGCGTGAGTTTAAGCCACCGGGTCCGGGACTCGAACCGCGGTCGACTACGTGGGAGTCCAGTGTCATAGCCATTACGCCAAGTGCTGGTCCCTTCCCAGGAATTTTTAAAGAGCCTTCGTATAGATATCAAGTTCTCATGAGAGCGATCCATTATTATTTTTCTTTTTAAAATTTTGCTATAGGGGACATGTGCTCATTAGAGACAGATAAACTGAGAAACCACCCCCCTCCCCCTGCAAAAGAGGATGGCGATGCTGCAATCCCTTTTCTTCCATTGTCCTCTGGGGATTCTGGGCATGTATGCATATGTGCCTGGCATGTTTTTCAAGTCACTGGATCAGGACTCGAACCACATGGTCAGCCATGAAGGATCCAACTGCCTTAATCTCCGCCATGGGCTTGCCCAGCAGAGCTGTACTGTAAACCTGAATTTCATGTGTAAAGATACTAAGAGGGACCCATCAGGTGGCATGGCGGTTAAGGCGCTAGATTCCCACACGGTCCACTGCGGTTCAAGTCCTGGACCTGGCAGTTTGCTTTTTCTCTCTCTCTCTCTCTCTCGGGGGGATGGCCACGCCGCAATCCCTACTCTTCCATTCTCTTCTCGGGATCTTGGACGCGCACGAACACACATCCGGTGTGAGTTTAAGCCATCGGGTCCGGGACTTGAACCGTGGTCAACTACATGGGAGTTCAGCGACATAGCCATTAAAATCCCAAGATTTTAAATACTTAAAAGAGCCTAGCTCCAAGACAGAGAGGATGAAATGAGCTCACGCACACAGCAGTCAACACTTATTTTTATTGCCACCACCTGCTAACGCCATAGCAGGGCCCTAGCGCATAGCACTGTGAGCTCAGAACCGTTTGCGCCACGTGTAAAACGCCACGTGATCGCCGCTATCTATCCTCCCCATCATCCCACCAGCGCGCCCATCTGAAAGATGCTTTAACCTAATCCCTTCTATTTTTCTTTCTTTTTTCTGCAAATCTGTTTCCTCGTCCAGGCCCGGCCGCCCAGGGATGCTCGCCAGGCTTCCGCCCACTAAGACTGGGCGCCGACAGCCCTGGGCTGGGGATTCCGGCAGTCCTGGACCACTGGCTCCCATCGCCCAGCCCACTGGCCTGGACCGTCTGCGGTCTCCAAGGAAACCCACCAGCCGCAGGGGGCGTGACGCTACGGAGAAGGACAGGGCTCTCCCTGTATAGAGAACAAAGTTTCTGGGCGAGGAGAGTAATCAGAACCTCTGATTGGCTCTTCCTTAATGGTGGGCGGGAGCATGGTGAAGAACCTCGAGGCTGTTACCATCAGTACCAATCAAAAGCCGAGGAAGCCTTGATGGACAGCTGTAGCGGGAAGAGGCCCCGAGTGCGCGCCTTCGCCCAACCGGCTGGCCGCAAGCTTGAGAATGGGCCAATGAGGAGGCGGCGGGGGTGGGGCGAAGGGGCCGGTTGCTCCGGAAGTGGAGGGAGGGGGTGAAAATGGCGCCCAGCTC